TTACCTCATATTTCTCAGTACATTCCACAACTAATTACTCATTAAAAATGGGTAATATTAACCCTTGATTCTTAATAGGTATTTACTTAATAATTACTATTCATAATTTATTAATATGAGTAATTAACTGTTACTTATTCAAGGAAGGTAAGATTTACCCAAAAACTTACTGTCAGACAGTGATGATGTCAATGTTTTTTATTCACAAAATCACAAAATATTTCCACCTGAGGATAAATTATTGCTACAGGGAACAAGAGTAGAGCAAGGGAGAGATGAAGCACCTTCAAAAGTGTTCAAAAGTGTTCAAAAGGTTTAAAATAATATGCAACGTTCTGCACAACAGGATCACAAAACATTTCAAACACCTGTTTTATAATAACATGTAATAATATATAATCCATGTTGTTCCTGAACAACTAGACAAATCATGTTTACTTGTTTGAAGTATTTAGGATTGCTAAAATAAAATAAAATAAAATAAATTAAAAATTACACAACCCCATCCAACTGTGTCCATCTACAAAAACTAAGTGCTATGCTCTGCAGAATGCTATGTATATGAAGCAAGTTCCTGAAATTATATGAATGAAAAACCTCATTAGAACAAGAGGGGAAACGTCAGATATGCCAGATCTTTCATATAAACAGTTAATTCCATGAGCTTGCTTTTGAGGCTGTGGTCAGGGAGGAGAAGAGGGGAAGAGGAAGAGGAGAGGAGAGAAGAGGAGAGGAGAGGAGGAGATCAGAAACGTCAGGTATGCCAGAACTTTCACATAAACAGTTCATTCCATGAGCTTGCTTTTGAGGCTGTGGACCTTCTTAAGAAGTGTTGTTCCGTCAAGCTCCAGAAAAAGTTTCTGGAATACTTCCAAGGTATTTTTCAGTATCTTGGGATACTCAAGGTTGAGGGCATAGATCAATCCCATGAGCAGCACACATGCCTTGGTTCGATTTCCACACCCAGTCAGCACTTGGTCTCCCTCAATGACAATGGCCACTTCTGCTGGATCTTCCTCAGCCATGACATCATGGATCACAATGACCTTAATGGTTTGGATTGTGTAGTCCTCACAGTCCTCCATGTTAAAAAGAAAAAAACAAAAACATATACATTTTAATTGAAATATATGATATGAGGTGATGTTCCAATACATTTGACTCTTATCATCTTGTCAAAGGAATTTATTTCAACTCAAGCAGTTTATTTTGTATTAATCAGCAATTCAATAAAAGTAGGTGTCATTAAAGGCTCAACATTCCACAATTGGTACATCTACATTTTCCATGATGCAATGTGGAAAGGAGAAGAGGAAGAGGAGAGGCGAGAAGAGGAGATCAGAGAGGAGAGGAGAGGAGAGGAGAGGAAGAGGAGAACTTCACTGCAAATGACATTTTAATGCTGTCTTTTAGAACATCGACAGCCACTTGAGAGTGAAAATATATATTTAGAAAATATATTTAGCGGATGACTAAAGAGAAATGAATGTTAACAAGATGCGCGGAAAGTAGGCCTACACTGCTCTCCATCAACACACTGTGGAGGCTCTGCACAGCAAACACACATAACGGTATGATTGCTAATATTGTAAAATACAGAACGCGAACAAATTTCACCGCAAACCCTACTTTCCGACTGTTAAAGATTGTTGAAGTCCCTATACGGTTATGTTATTTCCAGCGTTTTATCCCGACGTTAGACAGTGAACAACCGGGCGCTGTCGCCGATTCAAACTTTCGGTTCAAGCATGCATGGCACGTAACACAGAAACACTCCGACTACAACTCTTGTGAAACAACTCGACAATTCCTAAACTGTCCTATGCATTCGCGATATTGTACACAGCAACATATAAAAGATTAAAGTGAGTTTACCTTCAGTTCAGACGGCAGCGGGAAGCAGCACGCATCCTTCAAAAATTCTAATCCCGCTCATCCAGGTCTGATGCATGCGCACATCGCAGCGTAGAACCGGTTGCTTTGGGTAAATGTTACCCTATTTTTCCATGTAACACTTGTTACTGTTAAAAAATGGGTCGTGCAGGTATAATTTACCCATTATTTTATAGTTTCTTTGATAACTAGAATAATCTGGTAAATTTTAGACAATTTGCATGGTTTATATTTACAACCCTCAAAAATCCTTTTTTACAGTGTGGGTCAGAACATCTCCAAACCTGCAGCTCTTGTGGGGGGTTCCCGGTCTGCAGAGGTCAGTTCTGATCAAAAGTGGTCCAAGGAAGGAACAGAACCAGAGACAGGGTCATGGGGGGCCGAGGCTCATTAATGCAGGTGGGGAGTGAAGGCTGGCCCGTGTGGTCCGATCCAACAGACGAGCTACTGTAGCTCAAACTGCTGAAACAGTTAATGCTGGTTCTGATAGAAAGGGGTCAGAACTCACAGTGCAGAGCAGTCTGTTGGTCTGGGACCAGTCAGGGAGTCCAGTGATCACAACATAACTACATGGTACGATGTTTGATCTCCTGAACACACTCCAGAGAACAGATTTGTTTATTTTCTGTCTCCACTGATGATTACAGACAGACAGGGCAAATTAAAATAACAATAAAAGTCACTTAGAAATGTTGAGTTTAGGATAAATAATGTGTAGTTTTATTGTGGCAGCTGGCAGCAATACAGTAATTTTCTATCATTAAAATACTAATTTTAGCTTTAATTTTACATAAAATCTGTCTTTTTAATGTTTAATTAAATATATTTACAGTTTGAAACCATGAGCTAAAATCCAGGTGAACTCTGCTATAATACAATAATCAGACATTTACAGCAGAGTGCTGTTATTATTGGATTGTTATTATTTGAATATGAATGTTAAAAGTTATAGAAGTGTAATAAAAGTCATTATCTGTGAGATTACAGTAATTATTGTTGTTTACACTGATAACAACTGTATTTGGACAGTTTACCTTATACACTGATAAACAACATTTATTCCACTTCCATCATTATACAACATATCCGTCAGTTAACTATTACTTTAAAATTACACAACTAATACTTTATCATTTGTTGTGACAAATTTGACATAATTCTTTTAATCATTAACAGTAATAAACTAGAATTTAACAGTTGAATCTATTAAATAAACAGTAAATATCTGTGAAAAGATTGTAGATTTGCAAATTTAGATTTAGACGTGTAAATTCACAGGCTACTTTTTTACATTTGATTAATATTTACATGTATGTAAAAAATACAGAATAAAATCTGTAAAATTAGATTTTTTTAGTGTTTCTGCTTTTAGTGTTTAACCATCCAACAATAATGTCGTCCACTTTACTTTACACTCATTTTATTGTGTTTATATATAAATATATATATTATAAGTGCTCTTGTATTATAAGCCTATCTTTAAATAGAACATATTTACATCCATTGATTATTTATATTAATACTTTCTTGTTTTCTCATTGTTATTAGTTTCATGCTTATAATTAATTAACTTTGTAATTAAGTCTTATAATCTATTATTATGAGTCATTACTCTTCAGGTATTTGCAAATGAGGAAACTCAGCGGATCAATAAAGTTGCTCCAGTTAGCGGCTGCGGCGCCCCCTGCAGGTGAATCACTGTTGTGTTATAATAATGAGGACGTCTGTCAGAGCCACACACAGCTGCCTGTCTTGGCCAGGACTCTCTTGTGAAAGAGATTTTTAATCTCAATGAGACTTCTCCTGGTTGAATAAAGGTTAATTAAAATTAAAAAAAATAACAGCAGGGGTCAAAGGTCTCACTGGAGGGGAATCTGACCAGTTGTTTCTGTGATATAAAGTTCACAGGTTCAATCCCAGCAGCAACCACATGTACAAACTGTCCTCTGCTGCCCCCCAGTGGCCACACAGGTGCATTACACCACCAGAAGAAAAAGTAATAATACCAATCTGTAAAAGTACTTTATTACAAATAAAATGTGTTTATGAGCAAACTGGATGCAAATGCTGGAAGTATAGATAGAGCTGAAAAAACAATTTGACAGTGAATGTGAATATTGGACAGAGGTTTTAAAGAAGATAGTTAGAACTTTATGGGTGTGCTGGAAGTTATCATCATTATTAGTTTCAGCCTTTATTTCATAGGCATATTCATTAATTTATGTATTTAATTAATTAATACAGACTAAAATGTTAATCTGTACCCTTACACACTGTATTATGAAGGCTAAGAGGCATTATACTTTATATTAATTACTGTTATTGGTTATTAAATTGTTTAATAAACACATTATACTCATAATCATCAGTTTAAGATGCAGATTTTTATTTAGTCAAGCCAAAAACAAAACAGCAAAAAAACAAACTGCTGCACATAAATCAAACCAAGAAAAAGATGAAAGAAGTTTTAATACATCAGAAGAAAAAGAGAAAATTAAAACTATACAACCTGGAACAATCTCTGATACAAACTCTGGTACAATACGTCAAAGTGCTGGAGCATGAGGAGACAAACACTGACACATACGTTTCTAAGTGTTAGTGTCAGAAACCGTTATGTTCTCTGAGGTACAGTCCAGAGTCTGGAGGCTTTAAAGAGTTCACCGATGGATATATGATATAATCTGACTGATGCCTCGTCCACAGAAGAACTTGCGAGATGTTTATCTGGCGTTTTTCTGTAAATTTCTTTAATTTTTCCTTTTAATGAACCACTTTTGGTCCTCGATTAAATCTCCCCGTGGTTTCTGATTGATTGTCAACACAAACAGTTTATTATAAAGCTTGCTCAGTTGTTTATATTATGTTTGTCTTTATTCAATTCAATTTTCAATTCAATTCAATTCAATTCAATTTTATTTGTATAGCGCCAATTCATAACAGAAGTTATCTCAGGACACTTTTCAAATAGAGCAGGTCTAGACCGAACTCTTTAACATTAATTACAGAGACCCAACAGTACCACCATGAGCAAGCACTTGGCGACAAGGGCAAGGAAAAACTGCCTGTTAAAAGGCAGAAACCTAGGACAGGTCCTCCGGCTCTAGGTGGGTGGTCGTCTGTCTCGACCAGTTGGGGTGAGAGAGAGAGAGAGAGAGAGAGAGAGAGAGAGAGAGAGAGAGAGAGAGAGCGACAGACAGACAGACAGGTGCACAGCAACAACAGTATTGGCAATGGCAGTCAAGCAGGACCATGGCAGGAGGCTCCACCAGGATCCATGAGAACCTGCGAGACGAGAAAGCACAAGAACTCCGGGGAAGAAGTGGAGTTAGTAACATGCATTAAAGGGACATGAATGAGTGCAGAAAGAGAGAGGAAGGGAGGAGCTCAGTGCACCATGGGAAATCCCCCGATAGTCTAGGCCTATAGCAGCATAACTAAGGGATGGTTCAGGACTCACCTGATCCAGCCCTAACTATAAGCTTTATCAAAGAGGAATGTCTTAAGCCTACTCTTGAATGTGGTGAGGGTGTCTGCCTCCCGAACCACAACTGGAAGCTGGTTCCACAGGAGAGGAGCTTGGTAACTGAAGGCTCTGGCTCCTGTTCTACTTTTTAGAGACTATAGGAACCACAAGTAGCCCAGCATTCAGAGAACGTAGTGTTCTAGTGGGGTAATAGGGTACTATGAGCTCTTTAAGATATGAAGGGGCCTGACCATGAAGAGCTTTATAGGTGAGGAGGAGGATTTTAAATTCAATTCTACATTTTATAGGGAGCCAATGCAGAGTAGCTAGTACAGGAGAGATGTGATCTCTTTTTCTAGTTCCTGTCAGTACTCGTGCTGCAGCGTTCTGAATTAATTGGAGCGTTTTAATGGACTTATTGGGGCAACCTGATAATAAAGAGTTGCAGTAATCCAGCCTTGAAGTAACAAATGCATGGATTAGTTTTTCTGCATCTGTCTGTGATAGGATGTGTCTAATTTTTCTAATATTACGTAAATGAAAGAAGGCAGTCCTAGAGGTCTGCTTTATGTGGGAGTTAAATGACAAATCCTGATCAAAGATAACTCCAAGATTCCTGACAGTGGTGCTAGAGGCCAAGTTAATGCCATCTAGAGTGACTATATCTTTAGACAATGAGTCTCTAAGGTTTTTGGGGCCAAGAACAAGAATTTCGGTTTTTTCTGAGTTTAACATCAGAAAATTGCAGGTCATCCAGGATTTTATGTCCTTAAGACATGTTTGTAATTTAGATAATTGATTAATTTCATTGGGTTTGATTGATAGATATAACTGCGTATCATCTGCATAACAGTGAAAGTTAATGGAGTGATTCCTAATAATGTTGCCTAAAGGGAGCATATATAAAGTAAATAGTATTGGTCCAAGTACAGAACCTCTTTATAATAGTCACTAATTTTAGAAATCCCTGCGTTCATATATATTCAAACGTAAACAACCTGATATCCATGGCAACAAGATAAAAGCATGATGGATGAAAGGAACAGAATCTGTGACATCATAATGGCGTCACAGATTTTTTTCGATGGTCAATTTGTTTCAGACAGATTTCACTGGACACACAAACAGGACGAACACTGAGCTGAAGAAATGGAGACCGACAGCAGAGAGGATGAACCCTCATTTAACCGCTTCCTCACTCACCTGGAAAAACAGGTACAGCGTGAGCTGAAGGACGGCGAGGCCACCCTCACCCACAGTGCGTCAGCGGGGAGACTCCAGTTGGAGATCCAAGAGGAGCTGCTGGTTAACTTCCTCCAAGAGCTCCACAGACAGAGGAAGGAGGACGAGTGGCGCCAGGAGACCGAGCGGCTGCAGATGGAGATACGCAGCCTGAACACTCAGCTGGAAGAGGCCAAACTCTCCCGCACTCCTCAGGCTCATATCGAGGAGCTGAAGTCGCAGCTGAGAAACGTCAGTGTGAGAGATCCAAAAGATCTCGAGCAGCCGACTTCCAACATCACGGACCTTCAGATCCGACTGGAGGAGACGAGGAAGGAGAACGAGGCTCTTCAGAAGGATCTGGAGGAAGTGAAGGTGCATCTCCGGGTGGAAAAGCTGCTGCGTGCGGCGGCTGAAAGGAACCTCGAGATGACCGGCGAGTACCTCAAGGTGCAGCTCTTGGACAGAGACATTGCAGCGTTTGAGGCTTGCTCAAAGGTGGAAGAGCTGGAGAAACATCTCGCCCTCGAGAGGACTGAAACTCGGAGGCTGCGGAGGAAGCTGAGCAAAGCAGAGGACGCTCTTCTTAATCAGAAAGAGGAGGCTGAGAAGACCCTGAAAGGACACCGGGCTTCCCATAAAGTCCAGCTGGAGGCGCACCGAGCGGAGAACAGCAAGATCACCGCTGCCGTGAAACATGCCAAAGGTCTGCTGGAGGCTGAGCACCGTCGCCGACACCAGGAGCAAAACTCCCTCCAGGAAGCCAGAGACTCCTGTGGGGCCCAACTGGAGGAGCAGAAATATGAGAACTTTAAACTCATGTGTGCTCTGAGGGAGGTTGAGGAGCAGCTGATGGCCGACCATCACAAGTGGGACCAGGTCAAGGCTTCCCTCCTGGAGAAGCTGCATGAAGCCTGCTGCAGGTATGAAGCTCTGCTGGCTGAGCTGAGGATGGCCGAATATCAGCTGGAGGGCGACCACCTCCAATGGCAGGAGGAGAAGTTGTCCCTCCTTCAGGCCACAGAGGAGCTCCTGCAGTGTCTGCAGGAGAAGGAGCAACAGTGGGAGACTGCAGAGAGCTCCCTGAAGTCCCAGCTGGAAGACCTCCGGACCCAAATCTCCAACAGGAAGTAGAAGAAGGTCAAGAAGTGGCACAAAGTCTTCGGCTCCACGATCAGGAACATAAAGCTGTCCACCGAGAGGGGATCTCTCTGAACATCCTTTCCTGAGGTGTAAAAAAAAAAAAAAAAAAAAATTTTAAAAAAAATGTTTCTTATGTCTTCCTGTCTTAATGTGCACGTATCTTGTAAAATCCATCTATAATTATTATTGCCTTATTTATTTGTTTCATACGGAAGCGTATTGCATTCACTTGAAAAAAAAAAACTCTGGTTTCTCCGAGTAATTCATTTTTTTGTTTGTTTTTTGAATAATTTTTTTCCCGAATTATTGAGATACTTCGAATCCCCGCGAGAACCTCCAACTTGCAAGTGACTCCCATGGACCTATGGTGACTGCTGCCCGCACATACATGCCCCATCTTCAACTATCTACCGTACCGGGTCAATTTTGCTATGTATATATTTCTATGTCTAGCAGATCTGAATGGGCTTTCCTTCTGAACAACCGCAAAGTCCTCAGGTTCCTGCATGGAGTCTACAAACTAATGATAGTACCATCTATATGACTTAAAGACAGGACTATCTACCAGTGTCTTAAACCCAGATCAAAGTATAACTTGATTGAACTAAACAAGCCGGTCATTTTTGTTTCTGTTAAATCAAGCTCTCAATAAAGGAATGAATGCGTCTATTATTTCAAATGCTCTCTAAACTCAGAAAAAAAATTAGTCCGAAAAACAGAAAAAAAAAAATATTCAGAAAATCAGAAAAAAATTACTCAGAAAAACAGAAATAATTGCTCCGAAAAACAGACAAAAAAATAAATATTCAAGTGAATAGAATACGCTTTCGTAGTTTCAGGCTTTATTTTAAAGATATATTCATTAATTTATGTATTTAAATAATTAATATAGACTAAAATGTTAATCTGTACCTTTACACACTGTATTATGAAGGCTAAGAAGCATTATACTTTATATTAATTACTGTTATCGGTTATTATATTGTTTAATAAACACATTATACTCATAATCATCAGTTTAAGATGCAGATTTTTATTTAGTCAAGCCAAAAACAAAACAGCCAAAAAACAAACTGCTGCACATAAATCAAACCAAGAAAAAGATGAAAGAAGTTTTAATACATCAGAAGAAAAAGAGAAAATTAAAACTATACAACCTGGAACAATCTCTGATACAAACTCTGGTACAATACGTCAAAGTGCTGGTGCATGAGGAGACAAACACTAACACATGTTGGTTTTGGCAATACAAAGATTATATCCAATATATCAATCGTCCCATTAACAAAAAGAAAAATATTATTCACATCTTTAACACAATAAATCCCAAACTGACGTACACAGTGATTATTGTTCTGTAGCTCTGGATGTACGATGAGACGATGGAAACCTCGGACAGTAAACCTGCAGCCCATAATGAGGCTGTGTGTTCAGTTGCAGAAGCAGATTAACAGGCATTTTTATGTGCTAACGGTAACATTTTTTAACAAATGGATGACAGCGGTATTTAGCCTATAACATTGTTTGTTTCGCCATTTTAACATGCTTACCGTTAGCATTCATCTCACAGGGATTCTGCCATTTGTTCTAGAGGTATGTGCTAAAGGTTTTGTAGTGATGGAAATCAGGAGACACTGAAACTGTGACGATTAATCTCCTGCGATGAAAGTTTGGAACAAATCTACAAATCTACAAATCTACAGGTTATCATGAGGTTTCACTCCAAGATGCTAGCATGCTAAAAACACACAAACAAGATAAGTTGTACATTTTTATTGAATAAAACTAAAACAGTCCATTGTGTGTTGAGAAAATGTTTTGATTCTGAGGCTCATTGAAAAACATTTTAAAAACCTGAAAATAAAAAGGGCTCAATGTGGTTTGTTAGCCGGCTCCTGAACACTGAATCCGACAGCAGCAGGTGACTGAGCTTTAGAAAGACAACTGTAATAACACTGAAGAAGCGTTTGTGAGGCACGCAAACAGAAATGAGTAGATACCAAAGCAGTGAACACAAGCTGATTTGGCATCAGGTTGGTGAGGTTTCGATTTACTGAGGGAGTGGTCCGGTCCGGTCCGGTTCAGTTTCAGTGTTCGTCTGCAGGGTTTACGTAGCACGAAGCCAAGTTCAAGACTAACCTTTAAAAGGTCCAAGTTTACAATCTGAAACCTGAGAGGGTCCTCGTGTATCACTATAGTCTGGTTTTAAAGTCTAATCTCGAACCAGAACAGAACTTTTTGCTGGTCTAGATCCAAACAACCTTCCAACAGCGGCCGGTTGGCGCTTGTGCTGTTTACAAAGGTAACATTAAACTAGCTAGCTGTTGGTCAGTGTTATTCACCTCGAACGTGACATTTAAGTTATGAACAATGTTACGAATGAAACACTGATGTGAAAAATGTTTAGCTATGTTTGAGTAATTTTAGTTGACCAACTGCTTGCTAGCTAGCCAGCTAGCGTGACCTTGCTAACAGTAGCTAACTTTCGGAGTTAGGTTGAGCTGAATCGAGGATCCGGAACAGTTAATGTGCTTCTTACAACGAGTACAATGCGTCAATAGAGCCGACTTTTACTAGAACAACTATAAAAACATTGCTCGGAAGCTCAGATCTGTAAATAGTTTTCTAATAAAGTAACTTCTGATCAACTCGTATCAATTTCAGGTTTAAATTACCAACTTCTTGTTAATCCCACCTTCATTTAAGTCCAGATACGGATACAGATCATTTCTCTTCCTGTACAACACGGACCTGAACTACGAACACAATGTGTGCCACTGAACAAGGCACTTGGACTGTGGTATCGGGCCCGAAGCATCCGGTTTCAGAGCTATTCAAACTCAGAGTGCATTATTCTCCGAGGAGTCGGTGTGGAGTGACGACTGGTAGCTGCTAGTTCGAATCCTCAGAGTTTGATGGATGTTAGTTTGGGAAGCAGAAGATCTTTACGTGGACATCATCAGTTCTTATGAGTCTCAGGCACTTCAGCAGAGCAGCAGGTCGTAGTCACTAAGGTCGGCTCACACCAGCGTTTATAGAAACAGCGTAAAGGTGAATTGAGTTCCCGACTTTGGCAAACGTCAACAAACTGACGTGTGAATTTGCGTTCAGACATTCGAGTGAACAAAGAGTCAGAAAGTCAGAGGGAAGAAACTATAAACTTAAAGTATTATTTGTGTTGCATCATCACATTTTATGTAACAAAAGATTCACACAGCCCGCAGTCGGCCGTCCAATAAACTACGCTAACTCCATCATCCAAGCTAAACAGCTGAGTGGCAGTTAGCACGCTAGCTAGCCTGGCGGACTGTTGTAGCTGGCTCATTTTGGAGCATGTTAGCATTACAATGATTACAAAAGTAGTAAGTATTCAGTTTTGTTTCTATGTTACCGCCAACTAGCTAAAGAATAAGCAAATGACAGTGCGACTTTGTGGTGTGAAGATCCGTCTTCTCATAATTCCTTTAAAAAACTTTTTATGGCTTTTCCAGAACATTTAACCGTCGTAACGAACAATAATCTGTAAAAGAATTAAAAATAAAACTTAAACGGACAACCCCAACCGATCGTTGTGGCCGGACCTTTACCTGGGAGAGTCCGATACAGTATGTACACACAGGATCCAGTTTAAAGTCCACGTAGCAGAGCTGCTCTCCAGCCGGTTACTGAGCGGTAAAACCAACTGCCAATACGTAATCAATCATTCTGGGCAGCTGCAGTCGCACACAGTCTGGTTTCTATCTACAGCGAGTGACCTCCGCGTTCAGAGTCATCTGGGCGAGATCTCCTGCACCATGGCGGCCAGGTGGATGGTCGGACACGAGTCTCTGTGTCGCAGTTTGAACATCAGCTGCTCTTTTTCCTGAGAAAGCTGCTGGTTGATGACTGCCTGCCTCTCCAGCGCCACCTTCAGGTCCTGCTGCTCCTTCGATAACTGCCTGGAAACAGAGAGCAGATTATCGTCAGGGGTCACAGGGACGCTTTAAACTCACCTGGGTGGGACTACAGAGGTCTTCTGGGGATGGTTTTACATTTTTGTCATAATTAATCATCTTATATTTTCTGTTAGATCCATTAAAGGTGTGAATCTCAGGTGTGACAAACCTAAAAAATATTAATTCAAACAACAATCATCACCATCACTGGTGGTTAAACTACAGAAACAGTTCCTTTCAGAAGAGACCAGGATCATGAATTTAACACCAGAACTACCAAGACGGTTTTTATGGTGCAAATTTAAATGAAACCTGCGATCTCTTCAGCACATGACTTTTCCTAAATAGGTATTATTGAAGGTATTAAAATGTTATTTGTCGACAGACACATACATCAATAACAGCCTCATTTTACACATAATCCACGATGATAAAGATACAGAGGAATGGAAATTCAAGGTAAAAATATCATCAGTATTTTAGTATCAGTGTTATTAAGAGGAGCTCCCCTGTAGTTCTCACTGTGTGTTCAGTGTTTGTCGGGTGGAGGGAGGCGGTTTTAGTTTCTGATCACTTTGGAGTTTAAGTTCATGATCCTACATCAGAACTTCCTGAAGGAGGATTTACTGCAGGACTACAGACTGCATTAGTTTTAGTTTCCTGCACATAACATATTGTTCATTTTAAAATAGATTACAGCAAACAAAGTGTAGCGGACGTGTTTGTGCAGGTGTAAACTGTCCAGCAGGGGGCGCCACCTTCCTGCACAATGACCTGCCGTCAGTGAACTGAAGCACTCACTGAATCAGAGTCTGACAGTTTTCTATCCGGACCCTCAGATCCTCGTTCTGCTGCAGGACGTGGACCATCTGATCCTCCAGCGCCAGGTTCTTCTCCGTCTGAGGATCGCCACAGAAACAGGAAGTGGACAACAGAATGAACAACAACACGAGGAAGAGGAGGAGGAGAGGAAGAGGATGAAAATATGGATAAACAGTGGACCAACCAGAGCGTCCATCTGCTGCAGCTTCCTGCTCTGCTCCTGCACGCGCTCACTCTTCATCTCAATGACGAACAGCAGAGACTCCTGCTCGGACTCCCAGAATGCACCTGGGCTGCCATGGGCCTGGAGGGCACAGAGATCTTAATGAAGTTTTTACTGAAGAGCAAACACACACTGACGGTCTGAAGCTGGCGTACACACCTGGATGTTCCTCTGCAGGTCCTTCTTAAAGGTGGATTCTTTGACTCTCCGCTTCAGCTCGTTATAGACCTGCAGCTCTGCAGTCAGTTCCTCTACCTCACCCTGGAAAGAGAAAGGTTAAAGGTTAAAGGTTAAAGGTTAATGTCTGCTCTGATAGCAGCTGATAGATCTGCTCGTTCTTTTACCTTCAGGACGTTTTCAGCAGCCTGAAATGTTTCTGTCAGTTGAGTTTTCTCTTGTTCGTGTCTCGTCTGCAGCTCTGCAGCAAAAACACACAAACACACATTTCTGATTATAAATACATAGAGAGAGAGACAGAGAGAGAGAGAGAGACGGATCAGATAGAGAGAGACAGAGAGAGAGAGACAGAGAGAGAGACAGACCGACAGAGAGAGAGACAGAGAGAGAGAGAGAGAGACAGAGAGAGAGAGAGAGAGACAGAGAGAGAGACAGAGACAGAGAGAGAGAGAGACAGAGAGAGAGAGACAGACAGAGAGAGAGACACAGACAGAGAGAGAGACACAGACAGAGAGAGAGACACAGACAGAGAGAGAGAGAGAGACAGATCAGATAGAGACAGACAGACAGAGAGAGAGACAGAGAGAGAGAGAGAGAGAGAGAGAGAGAGAGAGACAGACAGACAGACAGACAGACAGAGAGAGAGACAGAGAGAGAGAGAGACAGACAGACAGACAGAGAGAGAGACAGAGAGAAAGAGAGACAGACAGACAGAGAGACAGAGACAGGGAGAGAGGGAGAGAGAGAGAGAGAGACCAAGAGAGAGAGATACACGCCGTAGAGACAATGTGCTGCTCAGGTGGACAATGTGAGACAATTATAAATATAATCAGACAAATGAAGAATATACAGAATATAAATAAACAGTAAACAACTGTGGAAGCTCGATCACAAACTCTCTAAATCTGTTTTCTTCTGTGGAGCCGTCTGTCCTTTCCAACGGGGAACTGAAGTCTTTCTATCTGCTCTCCACCAGACTCCTTTGATAAAAACAGTAATTCTACCTCACAGATTATAGAGGTTTCTGGTCCACCGCTGCCTCCATCTGCAGCAGCTAACGTTAGTTTGGAGTCACACAATAACAGATAAACTGACGGATGGAGCCTTTAATAATTCAACATTGTCTCTGCATTGTTATAAAGTTATGTGACTCTTATCTAAAACAGGCTCAGTCTGTTAAACCTGTTTGTTACCTTCAATGTTTCTCTTGTGTTCTTCAGTAGCAGCTTTACTTTTCTGTTCATGCAGGACGTTCAAATCCGCCGTCGTCTCCGTTTTCACCTGAAAGTCACATCAGAGACGCTTTTAGTTTAATGGATAAAAGATCAGATCAGACTGATTGAGATCAAACATTCATGTGAAATAAAAAAAAACCCTGTGAACACTCAGCTGCTAATAAATGTGTGAAAATAAACTTCAGACCACAGTGTGTCAGTTCAAAATGGTCGCTGCGTCTCCTGGCTGCAGAGGTCACATGAGAGACGGCTGCTGTCTGAGCCGGACGACTCGGCCAAATCGAGACTATGAATAACTTCTGGCTGAGTTCTATAGAGTAAGATGGCTAACAAAAAGATGTGTGCATGATTCTAACCATTCGTATTCGTAATGTTAAACGTCAATAAAACTCTGCTGTCATATACTCGAGTCTGAGAAATAGTTTGGGTTAGGATTGTTTTTATGTGAGTGTGAATCTAAAAGCTGTGAGTGTGAATACAACTCTAATTCCTACGACTACGAAGTCTCCACTGTGAACACGAATTCAGGTTTGTGGGTACGAGTAGAAAAGTGTTGGAATGACGTCACCAAAGGTCACAGGCAGGTCACAGGGGAAATAATCGAACCCTGATTCCTCCAAACGCTCATGCGTCAAAGAACAAGTTGCCGCTGTGCAGCATATTCCTGTTCTAATCTTACTGGTTGTATTTTGTGAATCGAATATTACTGTACTGTATTTATGTCCACCAGCGAAATCATAGCCAGCTAGCTAGGCTATGTTTAAATGTTCACCCGGCTATGAACTGAGACTTTTTCTACCACTGCAATGAGTTCAGAAACATTATTTTAAGGTTGAAATACTACATAGTGTTGCTTTAAACCAGCTTCCAGTTGTGGTTCGGGAGGCAGACACCCTCACCACATTCAAGAGTAGGCTTAAGACATTCCTCTTTGATAAAGCTTATAGTTAGGGCTGGATCAGGTGAGTCCTGAACCATCCCTTAGTTATGCTGCTATAGGCCTAGACTATCGGGGGATTTCCCATGGTGCACTCTCTTCCTCTCTCTCTCTTTCTGCACTCATTCATGTTCCATTAATGCATGTTACTAACTTCACTGAACATTTTAAGCAGGGTGATTTTGATAGGGCAGGACAGATTGTCCGACTCAGAGATGGTGTTATTCCATCCATCTTCAGCTTCCCGGTTCACCTCCAAATAGTAGGTGTATCATCATAAGGCTATTAGCATTCATAAATGTAAATATTCTACTATCAATCACAGGGCAGGGTGAGGGCAGGACTACGTCTACCTCCAGAAGAGAGCCTGCAACCTCACACCCACAACCTCAGCCTGATGATGTGAGTATTTCTATTTTAAACATCGTATCATAATGGTCCTGGACATATTCAAATCTCACTTTGCTGCCCCTCATATTAAACACACTCATAAATAAACCCATACACACACACAACTGAAGACATGTTGAACATGCATTCCTCACACTTGCCTGCTTCTCCTACCGCTCTTAAGACCAGCCTCAATGAAGCCTTAGCAAGAGTGGAAAGTCTGGAGCGAGAGAAGAAGAATGCCATGGCCAGAGAAAAGAGGGCATGACCACAGCGTAGAGTCTTTTGGGGGGTTTGAGGGAAAAGAACCTCATTAATAAAGAGCTCAAAGAGAGGCTTGAATTCTACTCAGGTAAGACGAAATTAGCACTTTGAAATTCATGCACATGTTATTCTTACAGTCTTTATTAAACTCCTTAGTTATTATCTGTAGGGGACTTGTTCATTTTTGCTCATAAAATTTCAGATCTTCAGATAGACTTCATGGAAAAACAGGGTCATGAGTACACAAAGGACTACAGGGAGTTTGCGCTCATGCTCCATCTACATGATCCAAAGGCATTCAAATCCCTCAGAGAGACTCAACATTTTCCTCCCACATCCACATACTTTACAAAGGTAGTCTTAATGTTGTCCGACACGTTAAAAATAAATAAATAGCTACTTCTCAATTTTTTTTTTTTACAGGTGGCTGCGTTCGGTTGAGGAGACACAGTTTGGCATCGACAACCATCATTCCAACTTGTTGTCACTGGTTGTGTCTGTGTTTCTTAAGATAAGGCTGCACCACATTGCCAAACTCTCTTGACCTGCAGAAAGGGAGCAAGAAGAAAGAAGCTCTGCAAACAGTCCTCTTTCAGGGGTTTTAGCTCATGTAAAACTCTCATGAGCAACTTTGTAGCAGGGGATGTGTCATGTTCTTGTGTTAACTTGAGAATTTGCATTACATTTTATTCTCTCTCTGCTTTGTTATACAAGTCTGAAAAGCAAGATGAGAGCGTGTAGAGGCATTTCCACTCCCCCCCCCGTTTGTTATCCAGGTTTTGTTCTAGTCACTCATGGTTGTCACTCTTTTGTATTCTGTTGTGAAACTTTTTGGTCTGCTATGCTATATTTGCTGTTAATGCTGTTTTGATGTGAATGTTCTGCCTGGTATAGAACAGCCTCGGATCTCTCTCTGTCTCTCTCTCTCTCTCTCTATCATACATCACATATATCAGAATATTCTATTACTGTTAATCCCACTATGAATATTAAAATACGTCGATGTGTCCTGTATCATAGCTACATGTATGACGTTTGCAGCAAAAAGAAAAAAACGTGTTAAAGTCAGTTTAGAATTAGAAGAGTTACGATTGATTAAATGTGCTGACACTTCACTGCGCCTGCCAACCAGATTACACTGAGTGGAGCGGGTGACCGGTCCAAAATGGGGCCATCTTTGGCTTTGGCGCATGAGCGTTTGGAGGAATCAGGGTTCGATTATTTCCCCTGTGACCTGCCTGTGACCTATGGTGACGTCATTCCAACACTTTTCTACTCGTACCCACAAACTTGAATTCGTGTTCACAGTGGAGACTTCGTAGTCGTAGGAATTAGAGTTGTATTCACACTCACAGCTTTTAGATTCACACTCACATAAAAACAATCCTAACCCAAACTATTTCTCAGAGTATATGACAGCAGAGTTTTATTGACGTTTAACATTACGAATACGAATGGTTAGAATCATGCACACATCTTTTTGATAGCCATCTTACTCCACAGAGTTTCTGATCACTGATATGTGACTGTGACACATTAATGTGGTCTGGTTTCACTTTCAACTGGTTCAACTTCCTCCTTCCCTGTACTTAGATATGCTACATGCTAAGCTAATCTGTGTTGGAAAGACGACCTCATTCTGAAGATGGTTAAAAGATAAAAGTCACATCTTAAGTTAGATAATGTTAGCTGAACATCAGCTACGTCCTCCGAGTGAAATCCATCCCGTATGACCTCCTCACCTTATCGAGGATGCTGAGGACGAGGGCGCACACCTCTTCATCGGCGTGCTCCTTCAGTAGCTCCGCCCTCTCCGGGTTCCCATTGGCCGACAGCACTTCCTTTAACGTCCTCAGCTGCCACTCAAAGCGCTCCAGCTGCTTCTCCAGACAGACGTCCGGCTCACCTGACGTACGATTACCTGCGAACGCAACAATTAGGTTAAAGTGACGCCTTAATAAACCTTAAAATGATTACAAATTAATATAAATTATTAAGAGGGAAAGCAGATCTATAAACTGATTTGATTGGACATTTATTAGCCAATCACAGTCTTCCACATCATCTCAAGTGGACTACTACTACTACTTTATTTAATTATGAGTTAATTATTTATTCATGAATAATTAATACATTTATTGTTTGTTGGTTTCTCGTGTTCATCTTAACGGACAGAAAGAAAACAAAGTATTTTAATAATTTCTTTATTGATAATAATTTATTTACTGTTATATTGTTATATATATATATATATATATAATATATATAAAATATTGTTTTTTATGGTTTAGAACATTATTGGGTTCTGACGGTAGATTATTAAAATAGTTGCTAATCAATGGACTAATTGATTCATTGATTCAGCTGTTGTATAAACTGTAGTTTCAGGAGTGTTTGTAACAGCGCACTCGTATAGTTTAGCTTTAGGTCTCGTATCTACACACTGAACAGTTTTATTCTCCTTTAATGACGCAGGTTAATGATGAGTTCAGTTTATTATAGTAACTTCATTGATCAGTAACAGCTCAAATTAAGTATTTTATTTGACATAAAATCCACTTTCTGACCTGTTGGTCCATTAAAAGAAGAAGCAGAAAGTGTTTGTTGCACCAACAGTCTCTGAATGTGGAACCTGTTTACATTGATTTTATTTGGACAGATATTGTGATTAAAGTTTACTAGAGGATCATTTTCACTTAAACTGATGATGTGGAATTTGTTGGGATGTTTTCTTAAATCTGGAGAATAAGATTTGTCACATTTTACCTTCATATCAAACAAAGAATAATGTGTTTGTGCGTAAAAATCTGAATTAGTTAAGTAACTAAAGCTGCCAGATAGACGCAGAGACATTAAAAGAAGAATATTTCCAATAATAATAGAAAACTGACAAAAAGAAAGTAAAGTATTTTTCCTTCTGAGGGTTAACATCCAACTGAACCTGAAGATAAACGTTCAGGAAGGGTTTCATTACAACCTGTCAATTACATCATCGACATGTACACACACGCTCACACACACACACGCTCACTCACACACACACACACACACACACGCTTACACAGGCACACACACGCTCACACACGCACACGCACGCACAGGCACACACACGCACACACACGCACACACACACACAGGATCGATGACGTCTTCAGTTTGGACCTCATGTCTTCAGGCTGAACACGTCTCATTATAATTATTATTAACGCAGTAAAACTGTAAATATCCTCAACGATGAACATGTCGGATATTTAAAATGTGAGTTTTGTTATATAATAAAGTTCTTTATGAGCGTTGTTTCCTGTGGCTGCTTCAGTATTTTCCAATAATCCAGGTACAAATTGAGGTGGAAGCAGGTCGCAGCCTGTCAGAAGATGAATTGATTTTCAAACAAAGAGCAGCTTTACATATTCTGACAGTTGAAACATTGTTCAGTCTCACAGACGAGAATGTGGGAAATAAGAGTTTCCACCAATTAGACAGCATCGTTAACGTGGAGTTTGACTGTCGGAGGTTTATTAAGTCTTTAAAAAGCTTCAAGCTCATATTTGATACATAAAATGTCCATAAAAAAGTTTAAACATCTACAATCATGTGACAAGAAGATATGCTGGTGAAGATCACATGATAAGCTACTAAAGAGCCTTTTTAATGTGAACTGTGATTAATATTTTAAATATTCTCATTAAGGAAACAACACGACTCAGTTATTAAAAACTGCTGCAGCTTTTTATTAAAACGTACATTTTATTTTTCTCACAGAACCTTTAGCAGCTTAATTTTTATTTTTTTATAAATTTTAGCTGTTTTTTTTGTTCTTTGAGAATAAAACAACATTGTGTAACTTTTCTACTTTAAAATAACAAAGAACAGCCTGGTTTAATTTAAAATAAAACTAGATGTTTCAGTCGTTATAAAACTCAATAATGTCTCACTGTAAACAACAGAAACGTGTCAAACTGCTGAACAGACGACAGATTTTATTTTGGTAACAATTAGCTATTAGCCGAGCTAGCGTTAGTAGTTAGTCGGAGCCAGCGGAGGTCACGTAAAGCGAGTTGAGCTGCTCTCCTGCTCACACAGGATCTGGTATTCCAGATAAACAGTAAAATATGTTTGTGAACAGATGTGAGGAGAGAAACAGTCAATCACCCCAACTGGTCGAGACAGACGACCACCCACCTAGAGCCGGAGGATCTGTCCTAGGTTTCTGCCTTTTAACAGGCAGTGTTTCCTTGCCCTTGTCGCCAAGGTCTTGCTCATGGTGGTACTGTTGGGTCTCTGTAAATAATGTTAAAGAGTTCGGTCTAGACCTGCTCTATTTGAAAAGTGTCCTGAGATAACTTCTGTTATGAATTGGCGCTATACAAATAAAATTGAATTGAATTGAATTGAACGACTGAATCTGGATCCATATCTGATTAGCACTGTTTGACAGTTTGATCTGAGTTTGGTTGAGCTGGACGGACTCACTGAGAATGAGCTGTCAATCACAAGGTAGCCCCGCCCTAAAGCATACCCTGCTTTATGGTCTAGTTTACTCTAAATGGGACCATCAGTTACTAAATGAACATCATGCTGTATGGAAGAAGACTGAAACTAGAGACTGAGACCAGAAACTCATCAGGAAACTGTTTACTGAGGGAATAAATCAACTTTTCCATAAGACTCAATACTATCAGAGTGGAGCTGCCCCCTGCTGGTCGTTATATATACTGTAAATTATTGTGATTTGTAGACGATAAAACAAGATGAATCTACTCCTACCGTCCTTTCAAATTCTAATTTTGGTTCTCGAGTCCTCGACTTAACTTTAACATTTTGATAGCAGATATTTTCCAGACAGTTTCTGCTCCAGCAGCGTTACTGTGAGCTCGACTCCTCGTGCCAGAGCGGCAGCGATTCCCAGAAACATGACGACATGCTGTGGGTGTTTCAAATGAGCGGTTTGTGTCCTGATGTTTAAACTGTACAATGTGCTCATAAACAGGAGGAAATGAGGGTACAGTCAGCGGTGAGTCACAGCCTCACAGCAGATGGTTCATTCCCTCGCTGTGGTCATATAAAGCTGTGCTACCTGCACTCACCTGAGACCTATATCTAACATCTGAATCTCCGTCTGCAACCAACAATCGGCAACTTCTTTTAATGACTTCATCATATTTTCCACAGCAGCTGTTTCTAATCTGTTTCTGAGATGTTAAAAACGGTTTTACAGGCTCAGTGAGGACATTTATTCTTATTTTCAGAATAAGTTAACCTTCACTGTAAAACAAAATCTGTAATTTTACAGGCTTCTTCACTTTTAGTTATGAATATGATTATTATTATTATTTCACAAAAATAATCTGTGAATTTATGTGTGTAATGTAAAATAACGTGAAAACTGTAACTGTAAATATTTATTTTAAGTACAAATTTCACACAAAAACTTCTACAGTAACTTCAAATTAAAGTAAGTAAAGTCAAAGTAAATTTAAGCCTGATTATTTTTATTATAGCAATGTTTGCCTGTATTTATAGGTAATTTCATTGTTTTAACACTGTAAATCTATTTAATTAAAACATTAAAAAGACAAAAAAATTACACAAGATGTAAAATTAAAGCAAAAAAACATTACCTTTTTATAAATTATTATTTTTTGTAATTTTACTGTATTATTTAACATTACAGCTGCTGGAATATGACTGTTTCTGCAGTACAAAGTAAGAAAGAGTGCAAATATTAAATATTATAAAGCTGCTCTATATAAAAGGTACAGATATGTGTTTATGATTAATTCTAACTGCTCAATGATTATGTCAGTCAAACTTTATTTAATGTCCAATTACATCTCTTATTTTAATTTGGAACTACAGTTCCCATCATGCTTTGGCTCCACACAGACACAGTTAGTTGAGGTTTATATGTGTTTTATCCTATTGAGCCGACAGACTTTCTGAATACAGGTTTTATTCGACAGGTGAGACGCTTTGTGCTCATTAACTAGCTCACCTGAGTGGAATGCAGCTGGCTTTAAGGTTATCACTTACACCTGTGCTTTACCTGCTATGACAAGTCAAAATGTTTGTTGTGAAAATCTTAGATCAGCTCTGGGATCAGCTTACTGTTACCGTCGTCATGGTGACCGATTGTGTTTATCACAATATGATATCTTAAAACGAGCTGAGTGGGCGTTCAAACCCTGATCATAATATTAATCTATAATAAAGTTTTCCATCACTTATTAGCTTATTATCAATTATTATTATTATTAATTATGACTTTGGACATTATTTAGCTACGTTAGCTAGCTAGCTATTGGTCCTATTGGGACTCTGTGTGGTGGACTCTGTGTGGTGGACTCTGTGTGGTGGACTCTGTGTGGTGGACTCTGTGTGGTGGACTCTGTGTGGTGGACTCTGTGTGGTGGACTCTGTGTGGTGGACTCTGTGTGGTGGACTCTGTGTGGTGGACTACATATACTGTAGTGTTTAATTTCACACTAACATTTTCACTTGGAGCAAATAATCTCTCACACAATGTAACACTGTCCATCAATAACAGGGTAAAGGTACTTTGTCCCACAAACAGCCCCTTCAACAGCCCTTTCTAAGGGATCAAAACAGGGCGATACAAAATAAAATTACAAAGTGCACATGTAAGGTAAACTAGGACTCAGCCTATAGTGCAGTTAAACCATGGCTTAATACTTTTCTCAAGTTTGCTTTGAACATAGCAGTCAGGCTACTGCTCTTTATTCACCAGAGGCTCAACCCAGCCTCTTATTTCAGAAAGAATGAACAGTAACGGTTACCAATAAAAGGAAAGCCTACTACTTCTTTGCTTTGAGCCAGTTACTCAAACAGACAAGCCTGTTGACATTTTCAGACAGCACTGACTCACACTGAGACATTATCATTCACAATCTCACATCTTATTGTTCAGCTTGTAGACATCCAGCTACAACACACAGTGAGCGAGTTGAGCTGAAGCTTTATTCTGTTATCTGTGGTGGATGTTGTGATGCCAGGTCACATGATCCTAACTGTGAGAAATATAGAGCAGGCTGTGTGCAGACTTTTACTGCAACCACAAGAAACAAAACAGGAAGTTTCAGCATCAGCTGGTTCATGTGGTCGCTACCTGCTCAGCTGCAAACTGTTAGAGCATTCAGCAGCTAAAGCTAAGCTAATGTAGCTCTTCTTCAGGGTATAACAGTTTATTATAATGTGAGAAACACATCTCAAGCTCCAGGAGCACAAAGTGACGTCTCGTCTGCCGTCAGACTCCGGTGACATTTAGCGAGGAGGTGAAAACAGGAAGTGAGAGAGCAGCGAGGCTGAGAACAGTCACACTCAGAAACCACTCACCTCCTTCATCTCGGCGGCTGCTGTGTTTCTGGTTCTTCTCTCCCTTCTTGCCTTTGCTTTTCTTCTGATAACGACAGGAAGAAAAAGAGAAGATGTTTTAGTGACGGCATCAACAAACAGAACAGACTGATATGAAGAGAGTGAGCGGAGGACAATCTTAGAAATCCTTCACTGTATATCAGTCGCTGGCGCCGGGATACGGCGGTGACATCGAGACTTTTTGTCCCCCAACTCTCAACTGTTAACTCTGAGCCAACAAATACAACACGTCGCCTTCCACGGCGTCCGCCATGTTTCTACGGTAGTCCAGAACGGACAAACCAACCGCTGGCTAATCTGTGTTTCTTTACACAGCCACTGTAGTTTCACATTGTTTTCACTCCCAGGATTTAACTGCAGGATGTCTCTACATCACTAAATCCTAAATCCTAAATCCTACACACTGGTCCTTTAAAGTCCATATAAACACTTTATACACGTCATAAAATAACTGCTGAAAACATTAAAAGACTGAACTACGTAGCACTGAACTGTGGAGTTTGACTGTTAAAGTCTTTTTCATCAGTTTTGGGTTCAGGATGTTTTGGGCGGGGCTAAAAGTACGACTCGATGACGCACTGGAGCCATAGTTAGCCCCGCCCCTAACGCTGTAACAGTATAAAAACATACTGCGTGTTAACATCCCTGGTTCTATTACAACTGTTTCTTTACTGGACTATTACCAGTGTATTGTTATTAGCCGCAGCCTTCATTAACTAGCTAAAGTCCGTCTTCATCATCCTGCAAATAAATCTTCTCATCTCACAAAACATTCAGAAGTGTTTCTCTATAATTATTTATAACAGTATCAGCTTTAAGGTGAAATAATATTAGTTTTCTGAGCTCACAGCCTGAACTTATCGCAGACAATGATAATATAATGACATAATAAAGTTATAATGTGATAATATGATAATGTGTGTCAGGGACATGAAACAGGCAGTTTGTAGGGAACTGGACCAGAGTCCTGGTTCAGAGTCCTGGTTCAGAGTCCTGGTTCAGAGTCCTGGTTCAGAGTCCTGGTTCAGGTCTGGAGCACTGATTATAAAACCCTCTGATGGAGGTCTGACTCTGCCAGCTTCACTCTCATTAGCGTTCACATGACCGACGCTGCCTCTTTTCTTCTCTCCGTTACATAACCTCAAACAGCGGCGGGACAACAGGACGACTGTTTGTCTGAAGGCCAGCGAACGCTCCTCCTCCTCCTCCTCTTCCTCCTCATCCTTCTCCTCTTCCTCCTACTCCCCTTCCTCCTCATACCTGCACATTCACCTACTCACAGCAGATGATATAAATCTATAAAGTCTACAGACGGACACAGATTCATCATTCTGAACGTCTCTGACATTTAAAACTACAATAATCAATAAATAATATAAATATAATATAAATATTAAAGCTGCTAAAAACAGCTTTAAAACATTTAAAACATCACCAACAAAGTTCAGCTGGATCTGATCAATCTGCTCGGAGTAGTACATGAAAGTATAAAACATTTACTGTTTCCAGTAGGGTCGTTCATAGTGAGACTCTTATCAGACGGATTGTTTGTTTTATGTTATATTGTTTGTTTGTTTTTTAGATTATTTATTTATTTATTTTATTGGGGGGGGATAGGCCAAACGTGGCTATAAGTTTGGCTCAATTGTTTATTTTTTCAAATGTGGGAGGAAACCGAAGCTACTCGGGGAAACCCACACCAACACGGTGAGCAGAGTCAGAGGCTAGAATTGATCCTTCACCTGATAGCTGCAAGGCCACAGTGTTACACTGAGGCACCTGTGTGGCCCTATGATACCTGATGTCCTGTGTCGCGATCCACCAGACAATTCTTCTCTAAACTGAGATAATTTATTTTTATTATACTTAAAATGTGGGCGAACCGAAGCCCCTCAGAGTAAACCCAGTGTCATCCCAGTTAGCATCCAGTCAAAAACCACCAAAGATTACTCTTTGCGTCCGAAGCAAGCAGCGAACGGCTTGGCCACGGTCTTGAAGAGACGTGAGAAGAGTCTGTTCACACCAGTCTTCTTCTGCGGCATCACCAGATGCTTTGTTAGTGTCTCAGTTATGCATCTGTAAACAGATGCATCCCGGGAGAGCAGGCACATCTTCAAGATCTCTGGATTGCCTGTCAGCTTGCACAACTCCTTGTGCACCGCCTTGGCGACCTTCTTGATGTGCTGGCCACTTGGCTTTACAGCAAACTCAGAACCTGTGATCTGTTCCAGGAACGTCTCCGCCAGTGACCTGCTGACTGCCTCAATGTCACTGCAGGTCACATGAATGTCCAGATGTATCGGACTTTTCATAATTCTACGAACCAGTGCAATGACCAGAAGCTTGCATCTGGTTTCGTCCCACTGATGGGCTGCTGGTGCTGCAGTCTCAACCGCAGCTTCATCACTGACCGGTGACTTGGTGGATTGTACAGGGGTGGAAGGTGGTTTTGCTTCAACCACCAGTGTGTCACCAGTCTTAGCTACCACCAGTGACTTGACGGACCGAACAGGGGTGGAAATTGGTTTTCCTTCAAGGGTGTCACCAGTCTTAGCTACCACCGGTGACTTGACGGACCTAACGGGGGTGGAAGGTGATTGTACTTCAACCACCAGGGTGTCACCAGTCTTAGCTCCCACCGGTGACTTGACGGACCTAACGGGGGTGGAAGGTGATTGTACTTCAACCACCAGGGTGTCACCAGTCTTAGCTCCCACCGGTGACTTGACGGGCTTAACGGGGGTGGAAGGTGATTGTACTTCAACCACCAGGGTGTCACCAGTCTTAGCTCCCACCGGTGACTTGACGGGCTTAACGGCGGTGGAAGGTGATTGTACTTCAACCACCAGGGTGTCACCAGTCTTAGCTCCCACCGGTGACTTGACGGCTTAACGGGAGTGGAAGGTGATTCTACGTCAACCACCAGGGTGTCAGTCTTAGCTCCCACCGGTGACTTGAGGGACCCAACGGGGGTGGAAGGTGATTCTACTTCAACCACCAAGGTGTCACCAGTCTTAGCTCCCACCGGTGACTTGAGGGACCGAATGGGGGTGGAAGGTGGTTTTGTTTCAACCTCCACAGGTGTCACGTAGGAACTTCCTACAGGTGTCACGTAAGAACTCCTACAGGTGTCACGTAGGAACTTCCTACAGGTGTCACGTAGGAACTTCCTACAGGTGTCACGTAGGAACTTCCTACAGGTGTCACGTAGGAACTTCCTACAGGTGTCACGTAGGAACTTCCTATGACTGAGGGGGTCTCAGTAGGTGATGTCTGACAGACCACTTCTCTGATCTTTTTCAGGACAAGAGTTACGTGGTCCTTCTTCCGTTGGTGGCGTATCAGCTGCAGGTTAAGCCATCGCCTTATCTGCCCCATAAAGGTGTCCACTTCGCCCTGTATTTGAAGGCGGAAGTCCACCGTGGGAGCCTCTGGCTGTAGGTGTTCAGAAACTAAATCGCCGAGCTCTATGGCGGCTGTGTTGTCCTGATCGCTGCCAACAGAGTTGATTATTTCATCAGGGGTCTCGTCTTTTCTCATCTTCCTTAGATCCTCTTCAGTCGATGAGATGATGCTCCTAACTACCTCATCAGCCTCCTCCATCAGCTGGCTCAGAGAAGACTGTTCTTCTGGGACGCAATTATATTTACGCCTCAGTTTTGCCATCAGGCCGAGTAGTGACCCCATGGCAAAACGCTGAGCATAAAAATCCTTAAGTTTGGCTGCCACTGTTTTCCAGTGGGACGTCTTTTCAGATATTGCCAAAGAGTCAGGCAGTGAAACTTCTGAATTGAGTTTCAACTCCTCAATTATCTCAACGACAATTGCAGAAGCCACCTCAGCCATGTCGTAGGAGGATTGCAACTCAAACATGTCACCATCTTCCTCTGAAACCTGGACGAAGTAATCAATTGGTTTGATTATCTTGGCCCTTTCTTGTACAATGATTTTTACAGCTTCTGTGACTTTGTCCACGAAGCTCTTCGGAGATTCTGTTTCGGTCTCATCAAGAGAAGGAACAACGGGGGTGCAGCAGGACAGTGTTATCTGACTTTCCGCTGCCTCCGTTGTCAGGCTTTGCTGACCTTTCTTTATGGCACACTTCTTCAAGATTTTGGCCACATGTCGGACCATGGTCTTTAGTCTCTCGGTGAAGGAAGGTGAGATGAGAGGCCTGCTCCCCTCATCGTCTCCACTTCCTTCAGAGCTTTTGGAGACCATATTGAATCTTTCTGTGACCTCTGTAATCACAGCATCTGTTAGCTTCTCCATGCTTCGGGAACTGATGTCTGGGACACCGGTGGCCTCCGATAAGGCCAGAGAGATGAAGTCCTCCAGACACCCACGGACGTCGTCTTCAGATACCGTGCTCTTCTGTGATCTGGCTGATCCAGGAGAGCTTTTGGAGGATTTTGGAGTGTCTCTCCCCTTCAGTTGCCTCTCTCTAAACATCCAATATATGTGGATGAATATCGTATTCACGATATCCATGCAAATGTCAGTTATAATCTCTTCGGTCTCCTTTTCGAGGGACCCGGATTTCAGAAGCGACCACTCTATGGTTGTCAGCTTCTCCAGGCACTGTCGGACATGCACGCGAAGACTCTCAGTTGTTGTTTGATCCATCCTTGTATTTGTTTATGTTCTTAAATCCAAAGTCCTGAAGAATCTTTCTGTGTTTGTCGTTGTGTTCGAAGTGAGTCTGAACTGATGTTGGATTTAGATCCTATTTATGCATTTTCAGACGGAATGTTCGCCTTTGCATCAAAGGAACATTCTACTGGCTTTTATCTTTGAATGACATCACAACATTGCGATGACATCACAGCAAAAGAGTAAAGGAATAAAAAAACACAACATTCCGACAATACAATTTTTAAAAAATTAAAGCTGCAAGCAGCATTGGACGGGACCTCGCCATCAACCTACGTCGGGGGCTGCATGGCGGTCGCCCACCGCAGCCACATCACGCCACGTCACCCCACCTCCGAGCCCTCATCGCCAGAAGCTGAGGTAGACCCCTTT